AAAAAATAATTATTCACAACTTTTTTAAAATTAATATATGTTTATTTTATGTATCTTACCCTTAAAAAAATAGAAAGAAAAACTGCAGGGAAAACAAGAAAAAAAGAATCTCGAAGAATACACTGTATTTCAAATTTTCTATTAAAATTATAGAATTTTAAGACCATTTTCTAATTTAAAGCATACAAATAAAACAAAACATACATTTATATATAACTTGAACATGGGGACACGGTACAACTCCACTTAGTGTGAAAGGGGATATCGAAGATGCTTCTAGTTACCTGGACAATGAGGGGTTAAGGGTTGCACTTCTTAGATGAAACGTTTAAAACTTTATGGCTCTCGGTGAGTGAGGATCTAATTAAATCAGTTCAAAATTTATGACCCCCATAAAATGTGTTAAAGAGAGAATAACTTGAAATGTTCAGAAATACTTTAAAAATAGGGAGGGAAAAACTTGAATCACAAAAGACAAAAGTTCGTTACATAGAAAATGCATTTCGATATAGCGAGGTTATTTTACGAAGAAAATCGTGAAATGTTCAAGGTTCCAGGAAAATGTTCGCTATATAGAAATATTCGCAATGTAGAGGTTCGTTATATAGATGTTCGACTGCATTTATTTCTTCACGGTTTTATATAGCAAAGAAAAATTTATAAAGCGTCTGTTGCTAAAACTGATAACTCAAATATTAAAAAAAATGATCAGCTAGATCAAGTATTTTCATCCAAATTATTTAGCCTTTTTTTATATAACACCTCTTCTCTCATGAAATATTACAACGTACTTCCCAAAATGTGGTTCAAACTACCAATTTTTAAAAATTTTTCTGTTCTTGATCAATAACATATGTGATTAAAGAAATTATGTTACTTCAAAGTAAAGGAAAACTTTGGTTTTAAAATTAAATCTCATTATTTGTTCAATTCCTACTATTAGTTCACACTCTACCTATATATATATATATATATATAAAGAAGAGAAGAGTATATATATATATATATATATGATATATATATATATATATATATATATATATATATATATACATCGTTGACACCGCGCAAGGACGGATAACACTACTTCATCCATAGCAAACCAAGCAAATGAAAGGAAGCAAAATGTGGAAAAATTAGAATAAGTGCGATATTAGTAAGAAAGAAACTATGAGTATGAAAATTTTTTCCACGTCTGTTCATCACGCGTGATAGCGTTCATAAGAGCTTTAAAGGTTTTGACGCGTGTGGACAGTTGTTGTTTCAAGTCAAAGTTTTACAGGAAAGATTTAATAGACGAACTTAAAATTTTTTTTTTTGGCATGTCTTCCCGACATCACATATAGATGATTTTAAGCGTGGCCGAATTATTGGAAAGATCGAAGAAGGGCGAAAAATAACAGATGTTGCCAGGGAGTTCGACATCGCTCACAGCGTTGTTTTACGGCTGTGTCATTTAAAACTACTGGAATGTGTAGTAGACGGCACGGGGAGGTCGTTGTTAGAAGTGCGACGCCTGCAGAAGACAGATATATCGTCCTATCAGCAAAAAGGAACAGGTGCACCACAGCTCAGCGGGTGGCAAATCAGTTTCTTGCTGCCTCAGGAAAGCAGATCTCCCGAAAAACTCTCGCCAGACGTTTGAGGGGAGAAGGTCTATACGCACTCAGACCTGTTGTGTGTGTCCCATTGACCAGACAGCACCGTACTGCCCGTTTGCAATGGTGTCGTGAGCATCTGAAATTGGACTGAACAGGACTGGGCATGCGTATTATTCTCAGATGAGAGTAGGTTCAGTCTGTCATCGGATTGTAGACGCCACAACTGATCTGGCGCGAGAGTGGTACTGCTTTACCGTCAGAAAATATCCAGGAAAAGGACCGATATCCGACATGCAGTATCATGGTGTGGGCCGGCCTCATGATCAATGGCCGCACGCGCCTACATGTGGTTGCGAATAAGGGACTATGACGGGCCAACGATACATTGATGAAGTTCTACTTCCTCATGTTCGTCTTTTCCGTGGTGCTGTCGGTGATAAATTTGTTTTTATGGACGACAAAGCAACATGTCATCGAAACTCGCTGTTCAGGATTGTCTTGACAGCGAGGGTATTCAACGTCTCGTATGGCCAGCGCGTTCTCAAATCTAAACCCCATTGAAATTGTGTGGGATGCTTTGGGGAGGCAAGTTGCTGGTCGAAACTATCCTCCGACAAACAAGAACACCCTCATCCGTGCACTCACAGAGGAATGGGATAAATTGCCTCAACAGCTGCTGGATAATGTTGTGCAAAGTATGGTACGACGTGTGGAATGTTGCATCACACTTCACGGTGGACATATCCCGTACTGATATCTTTCTTTAAGGTGCCTGCTGACTTTTAGATGCATTTTCCATTTCTCCGTACGCAGATCAAATGAACATTTTTTTTTTTTTCTTTCAGATGTTTCACAGCTTTTGTACTTTCCTGAACAATAAATATTCTTTATTTTAATGTCTGAACAGTGTGGCAACTATATTTTATCCTACTAGGCCTCATGTCTCGCTTAATGTTATGCTACATAGCAATTTGTGATCCGTCCTTAGCAATTGTCAGCAGTGTATATATATATATATATATATATATATATTCCTACATATATCAAGCCCCAGATCTGCTGGTAAAATGAGGAAGGCATCATCTCTATAATAACGTTTTTATTTTGCTTCAATCACATAAAATCCAACATGGCGGCCCTTTGGCGCGTAACCGAGTACAACGATAGACAACTATTCGGCGAGGAGTCACCAGCTAAGCCTTTTCGAGTATGCGATCTCCTTCGTCAGTGGATGACATTCTATTTTTGGGTACCTGTACTGATACACAGTCCTCACGTTCGTCAGCGCTCGCTCTACCTTTAAATAGGCTTATTTACACACAAATCCTTACATGATGGTAAAGAGTTCGCTCTATTTTCATTTATTACTTACTTAATTTTGTAGTTAAACTTTTCAAACCTGATATATATATATATATATACAGTGGTGGCAAAAAGTCCTGAACACTCTCATTTTTAGCGTAATTTTTGTGTTTGACTTCATTTTTCGTTGTGAAATTATCGCACTATCTTAAATATTGTTATTGATTTTAATGTATTTTTTATGCTGATTTCAAATCCACTACTAAATTCTTATTGACTAAAATATATTTTGTAGTAAAGCTGCCAGAACACAATAATGTGAAATATGTGCAAATTAAAACAATATAGAATAACATAATATGCAAAGAAAAATAACACGAAAATTGACAAATACGGTATATTTAATATATATATATAAGCATTTTGAAAATTACATTGTTGTCACACGTTAGAAAATCAATATTTTATGGGTCAGCCGTTTGCTTTAATTACGGCTCTACATCTTTTTGGCATGGAATGCACCAATTTCAAAAGAAGATCTTTCGTGACAATATGGTTGAAGGAAAATATTAAAGCTTCAATTAATTCACGTTTGTTTGAAGGTTTTTTCTTTGAAATTTCATAACCAATTTTAAACCATAAATTCTCTATTGGATTAAGGTCGGGAGACTGTCCTGGCCAGTTCATTTTATTCATAGTATGGTCTTTCAACCAGTTCCGGATTATCTTTGCACAATGACAAGGGGCGTTATCGTCCTGAAAAATCCATGACTGATTCCCCAAAAGATCTCTCGCAGTTGGTAGCAACTTATTTTTAGTATTTCAATGTAATCCATGGCTTTCACTGTTCCGCTAACGATGTGAAGTCTTCCAACACCATGAGAAAACATGCAACCCCATACCATCATTTTTGTCGGGTACTTTACTGTGGTCTTCAGACACTGAGGGCTGAATTCCTCATGAGTGCGTCGTCTTACATAGGCACTACTTTGGTTGTCAGAAATACAAAACTGACTCTCATCACTAAATATTACCTTTTCCCAGTCTTTAATAATCCATAATGAATGTTCCCTTGCCCACGTCAATCGCCTCTTGTGTAAAAATTCAATCAGTAATGGTTTTGGGCGTGCTTTACAGCCTCGTAACCCAGTTTCCAGCAGTCTTCCTCTAACAGTTCTTGGGTGCACTCTCACATTTGATGTCAAAGTCCATTGTTTCAAAATTTGCGAGGAATTAAGCTTTCTGTTTGAAAATGAAATTCTGTGCAATAACTTGTCTTCACGTAAAAATGTTTTTCTTGGTCGTCCTGATCACCCCCTGTCCGCAATAAAATTTGTTTCAGAAAATCTTTTCAAAGTTATCACAACAGTAGAAAGACCACATGGTATTTTAGCAGCAATTTGACGCATGGAATAACCTTCTTCCTTCAGATGTATTATTTTGTACCTTTTATTCTCAGGCAGATATGAAAATTTAGCCATAATTACTATATTTTCCACAAACGCACTTCCAATTGCTTTCAATACACTATTTATCACAAGCACACAACTGCATTCCATACAATAAACCACGTTTCATCTTTTTCTTTCAATTCTTTATCGCTACTGCTCTCTGATTGGTTGAAATAACGGACCATTTCATTGGTGGAAAACACACTCACTCATTCTTACAGTGACCTTATGCTTTCTTGTCAAGGTTTTTTCAACATATCAATAAAATTATTCACTTTAGATGAAATCTACAAACAGATTTGAAATCAGCATAAAAATACATTAAAATTAATAACAATATTTAAAATAGTGAGATAATTTCATAACGAAAAATGAAGTCAAACACAAAAAATTACGCAAAAAAATGAGTGTGGTCAGGACTTTTTGCCACCACTGTATCTTGTTCAAATTTTCAATCATTAATGAAAAACAATTTTATTCATCCACTCGAGTTTAAATACATTTTTTAAAAGTTGTAGTGGAGGACACTTAATGTTAATAGCTTTTTCAAATATTAATTCATTAATTCTTTTTAATTAAGGAATAAATGGTTGCAAACAAAAATAATAGTCCGACACCATACATGAAAAGGAAAGTCGCTCCTTGTGTACCTATAGCGCAATGGGCAGCGCGTTGGATTTCTAATCCAAAGGTCGTGGGTTTGAATCCCACCTGGGATGGCCTAATTTCTGAGAATGTGATTTCTTTTTACTATACTATTGTATTGGAATAATTAAATTTTATCAATGTATAAATAGTAACAAACAAAATAATAGTCTAACGCCATATATCGAAAGTGAAAATGGGAAATTGCTAGGCAAATCGCTTTCTATTTTGCCTCTTAATATTGTGATTCTGGCATATGTATGTACATATTTATATGAATAATAATTATTTAATAAAAAGCAACTAAAAAAAAACGAAAATTTTTTTGTTGACCTAAGTAAGAATTGACTTAAATCTTTTTCTTTATATTACTTGTTTTTATTGCGCGTTGCAGTGATACGCTTTAAATAACTTCAAATGAGAACCTAAATATAATATAACAGGAATATTTGATATTTCAAATACAACTAGAAAAAATATGTATATGTCAAATAATAGCTACGAATTTTATAAGGGATGATAACTATATTCTTGTAATGAAAAATGCTAAGTATATCTGTATCTAGTTATTTAGTTACCATATACAAATGGATGTTCTATGGATTCTACCTCAGATATTAGAAAAATGTTCAAGAATAGGTTTGAGATATTGCTTATAAGAATATTATTGAATAAAAGGTAACTTTTTTGTGGCTATATTGATCAAAAATAAAATTATAATCAAGGCTTTTTGCATATTCTATAGAGATTGTTAAGGTTCTGTTAAGTATGTATTCAGCACAGTTTGGAAATTAATGGTACTTTTACATTAAAAAAATCTGTTAAATTTTTTTTGCTTGAAATCTCACCAATATATTTTTTAAAAAAATTAAAAATGAATTCCTTGGATGTATAAATGAAAACATTTCTTCTAAGAAATTCATTTCGATTCTCAGAAGGTTCATTTGATGATTTCAGGAAACTGCATGAGGCCATATAAACTCTGTAGAGGATATTTCTTCTTAAAAGTGCATACGTTTTTTTCCTTCTTGTAGTGTATCTTTATAAAAAAATTAATGGAAAAGGAGTAATCAATTGTCTAGGATCCGTCTTATATTTCTGGTTATTTTTATTGTTTTTTCTCTTAGAATCCGATCGACATTTCAGTATTGCTTGGCAACATTTATTAACTGTCTTTAAACAGTTGAGATCAATTACAACACACAACAGCTAAATTTCGACATAAGGATTCTGAATAAATATGTATTGCATCAAAATTTTTTAAAAATTATTTGAAATATTTTTTGTGTATCCCAAAGGTCATGTATGCTGGAATGGGCATAGTAGGTTCTGGCCCTCATGAGCTATTGCGTCACTGAGAGTTTGAGTTTTATTTTTCAATTCCCACTATTAGCTCACACTCTCTATATATTTATTTATTTATTTATCTTGGTGGAATTTTCAATCGTTAATAAAATACATTTTAAAGCGCTCAATTGAGCTGAAATTTTATATACTTGATTATTTTGGATAGCAATACAGTAACTTAATTATAACTAATAAAAATTAATTGATTAAAAGTAATTATTTAAATAATTACAAATGCAGCCACGTTGACATCATTTTTGGCGACTTGAGTCAAAACTTGAAAAGGCTTTTTTCTCTCATTTTAAAGCGCTCATTTGAGCTGAAATTTTCTATACGCTATTGTTTGGGGTAAAAATACGATAATTGAATTATAATTAATTAAAATTATTGTTGGAATTGGCTTAATTTTTTTATATTACTTGTTTGTGTATATACATTGCAACTTCTTTAAAAAAAAGAAAAAGAAGTCAACTCATAGCTATGCGTGTTACATTAATATTAGAATAATGGCTAAAAATGAACATGTTTTACTTCTGAAATTAAATTAATTTTTTCTTTAAATACAAAGTGAGACTTTCCAAAATTTTATACCGACATTTGGAAAATTTTAGTTCGATATACAGGGTAGCCTGAAACTCAACGCCAAGCTGGCTCGAAATGAAAAGATAAGTTATAGTAGTTCTGGGAAAAATAATAAAAAAAAATCATGCTTAAGTGATGCATAGCATATTTTTGAAAATACGGAAAATTGACACCCTCCATCACATTATTAAGGGCTGTAACCCAAAAAAATTCACATTTTTACATTTTTTTCGTGAATGTCATCTTTCAAAAACATCTTATTAATAACAGTCGCACAAGTCGGGCGAAACACTTTGCTAGTTTAGTTAGAGCTGGTGGTATTGATCCTTTCGGGTTTTGTAAATAAATTTATAAATGTCTACCAGTTTGGCCACTTCGAATCTAAAGAACTGCTTTTCATATTTACGCTGCGTTGGAATTAAGTGAAGAAAGTTTAGCTCAAGAAATTACCACGATTCTAAGGAATGAACAATTTTCGCACTACAAGACTTAAAATTTATTCTCCTCTTCTTATTCCTCAATAGCTATATAGCCCTGGGTGGGCCCTGGCCTTCCCTAGAAGTTTTCTTCAAACATCTCTACTTTTGCAACTGTTTTACAGTTTTTGAACTTTAAAACATTTAGCTCTTTTTCGACACATTCAATCCATCTTAACGGGGATCTACCCCGAGGTCTATTTCCATGGGCTTTGGCAGAAAGACTTTCTTGCAGCAACGATCTTCATTCATTCTAGCCAGATGACTAGCCTATCTAAGTCTCTGTAAGTTGACAAATTTACAATATCATGTTGTTTGTAAATTTTGTAGAGTTCTAAGTTATATCTTCTTTTACATGATTCATTCACTTGGATCTCACCCAGAATGCATCTTAAGATCTTTCTGTCGAAAATTTCCAAAGCTTCCTCACCACGTAAAGTCAATAGCTAAGTCTCTGAAGCATAAGTCTAGACAGATCTTACGACTTTCGCAAACAGGCAATTCAGTTCTTAATTTGAGAAAAGTGGATTTTAAATAACTCTTTAAGGTATAAAAACATCTATTTGTAGCAATGATTTTTTTTATAAATTTCTGGGGCCAGCTAATTTTTATTTTTGATCTCAGTTCCTAAACAAGTGAAACTGTTAACTTTTACAAATTTATTAAATTGCTAATTTCTATATAACTAAGTTGTAAGTCGGATTTAAACAAGGTAAATATTTAGTTTTATTCTCGTTTACACAAATAAGTTAATTCTTTTAGCACTTTGTTCTAATGCCATAAGCAAAATTTTCCAATAAACGGAAAGAGTTTGTTCTAACAGCAGTACATCAATCTTTGTCAATGCATTACATGAAACAAAAAAGTATTCTTCACATCACATACTACTAATAGAAGGGACAGAATGATGATCATTGCATAAATAATATGCAGTGATCATCATAATTAAAGTTTCCCTCTCCAAATGCTGTAAAAAAGAATCACTGGTCAGGATTACTTCAAATTTGAACTGAATAGGCTTGAAAAGTATTGAAATGGCTTTGCATAGAAAAAAGTTACAAAGTGTATCAATAGATAGCGCTGTAAACGTCACAACAAAAGTGGTTTGGGCTGTGTGGCATTTTGAATCGAATTGCAACTGCTTTGAAATGTGATTTGCACATTAAATCAACTGTACTTTCAAAGTACATTATTATATAGGTTTTTGGACAACAAATTACTTTGATTTCATTTAACAGTTGTTGAACTGTTAGTAAGAATCTCATCCACACCATGGCAAAATCACATCACATTGGATAGGAAAAATCAGTTTTTAATTGCCCTTGAACAAAAAATTGTACAAAAAGAAAGAAGTAATGAAAATGCTAATGATTTTTTTCTTATGCCATACCATTTCTCCCTTCAAGAATATTCAGTTCAACATTGAAACCATTCTGAGCAATGGTTTTATTTTGACAACTTTTCAAAGTAGAACTTTAACTATAATCACTCCGTTTTTTAAGTTAATTAATACGTACTGGAAGTGGCACCGATTAACGAAATAGTCGCAATTAATTTTGAATTGAGAGCCAGCTAAAGTTCATTAACTGTTCTCAAATATGGCACGGAGCTGTGACTTAACCCTTCTTTAATTGTTGCATCTTAAAATTCTATATTTATTAATATTTATTTATTTAAATAAGGTACAGAATTGCAAGGAATTTACCAATGATATGTAATGACCTCTAATTTTCAATTCTTTTGGAATTGAAAAAACAACAATAACAATATGATGCACATACATTTGTAACTGGATCTAGAATAAGTGATCAACTCAATATGTTAAATCGATATTTACTCGCAATAAACATAAAGAAGAGGAAACGTTCAATAACTACGTATGGAAACGGTAAAATAATCCTACTATTCATTTCCCTTGAGATTAATGATTTCTGGTAAACCTGATCTAAATTTTCTTCTATTTTCTGAGAGGAACCATTAGGTTTCTCCCGATACCTGTAAATAGCCGAATTGCTGACGTCAAAAAATCAAACAATTACCCTAAATCTCGAAGCATCTGTTGTTGGCGGATTTCCAGGATTACAGAATTTCCGAAATTCCCTAGCGGCACCAACTCGTAAGTAATAATAATTTACCCTTTATGAATGTGATAAGTCTCTTAATCTAAAGTCCGAACAACTCTATTTCTGGAGACTTCAAATAGATTGAATGCATTTGCTGTACATTTATTTGCTATGGCGCAGTAATATTAATTAAGTTAACTTCCAAAATGACTTCCAATTCCAGATTCTTATACATATTCAAATAATCTTGGGATTTTTATGCATTCTAAAGAAAATTTAAATCAAACTGAAGGGCTTAGAATATAATAAAAACATAAATAAAACATAAATAATCCAAAGAAGAATAGAATGTTTAACTGACAAAATTTTAAATGAAACTGATATGATAAACCGATGATCACGCTACTACATTAATTTAATTTTGAAAAAAGTATTTGAGTAAGATTTCTTGTGAGCATCCGCGGAATGATTTGATGCTTTTGGTATTTTTCCCTCTCCCCTGCGCAAATCTCGCCAAGTTGGCACCATTGGCGGCATCACACAATATATAGATAAAAAATATATTAATAGATATTAGTTCTCTCATTGGTGTTAATAATCTGTTTT